GTACTGGTGGGCAGCAGTATAACCCCTGACCACCCTTTTCAAGGCAGCCTGCTGGCAAATGATCCAGAGCTCCTGTCCATGCAGTTAACATGCACACTGGGGTCACCTCGCAGAACCCATGCTCTAGGAGGGGCAGTTTTCTCTGAGCCTGGCTGTGGGCATGTTTCTGTGGTGTTGGGCATGGGCCCAAGGGTGGATGTGTGAAGGCTCATGTGTACAGATGTGTAGAGGGGCTTGTGTGAGGGCGTGTTTGTATGAGCTTGTGTGCACAGGGCATGTGTGTTTGTTTGTGTACTCACGTGCATGTGCATTTGTGGGTCCCCAAGCAGTGTGCAGTCAGGTCTCGTTTGGCAGATGTTTTTCAATGCAGACAATTAATCTGTTACTTTGCAAACATCATGCATCACATTAACTAGCTACAGCATCACTAGTCAATGTCACATGCAGGACCCCCTGTTGTATCTACAGGCTGTCTTTGAGTGATGGTCAACACGTAGTGAGTAACTTGGCATGTAGATGTGGGTGACTGATTAAGACAGAATTTCACTTCAAGTACCTGTGTTCCTCACACAAACTGTTCTTGAACTCTGGTGGCATCACATTCTATGATTGACTTTCAAAGTGGCCTAAACTACCAGGCAAGCATGGATGAGAATCCACCCCAACCCCCTGCTGTGCCCACAGACTCTCAGCCCCATCCTTGCTGAATGATACAGGGTCTGTCTAGCTGTTGCCCAGGCTGGCCTAGAACTAGGAATCCTCTTGCCTCGGCCTCCAAAGTACTGGTATGCATTACCAAGCCTAGTTCTTATTTTTCAGTCAGTGGGATTTGTTTGATACTCCATTTTTTTTGGGTTGTGTGTGTTAAAGTCCTGTGGAGGTCACAGGACACATTGTGGGAGTAGGTGTTCTGCTTTAAGCAGAGGCGGTCCTGAAGATTTAGTTCCTGTCATGCTCAGCGGGCTCCATCACCTGCAGAGTCTTCCTCTCTCTGTGGTCCAGTCCATACTCAAGATCACATCACCTGGTTCTTAGTCTATAAAGTATGAACCCGTCACAGGAAGTTTGTGTGACATTATAGGTTGTGGTATGAACCTGCTGCTATGACCAACGTCAGAAGCACATTGGTCTCCTGACCTTCCTTATCATGTTACCCGAAGCAGCCAGCAGCCAGCAGCCAGCTAGCTTCCTGTGTGGCTAGCTAGGTTTTAGAGAATCCTCTGTACACAGAGCATACACTCTGGGTACTTCAATTTTATTGAAATTGTGTAAAATTCACAATTGAAAACAGACAGTTCTTCAGTGAGTAGTGGTAAAGTGTTGTGCAAACCTCACAGCTATCCATTCCAGAACCTGACCATAGACCTAGAAGACCCATCACTCCAGGCTCTGGCCTCTCTTCTGCTTCCTGCCTCAGTGGACTGGCTTGTTCTGGACATTGCTTGTCAGTGGAGTCACGCGCACACACACACACACACACACACACACATACTGTCTGAGCTGGGCTATTTCTTTGTTTTTGTCATGCAGAACAGGCTGGCCCAAATTTCCTGTGTAGCCAGGGATGTTTTTATACTCCTGATCCTATTGCCTCCACTGCCCCAGTGCTGGGTGACAGGTGCTACCACCTTCAGACTACATTTTGGGGGATGGAACCCAGGATGCTACATGCTAGGTAGTCACCCTGCCAGCTGAAGCCTGCTGCTATGACCAACATCAGAAGCACATATCGTGTTTCCTAACTTCACCTCTGTGCTGTAGATTAGTGCAGCATTCCTACTGTACTGTTCCTCCTGTGGTTGGACTAGATTTTATTTATCCATTCATCCATCGGTGTGTTTCTGCCTTTTAATGCAAGCCACACTGTATACACTCACGTCCTGAGATTTGAGTTCCTGAGCTTTGGATTTAAAAGAGCAGAATTGCCAAGGCTGTGTGTACTGTTCGGGGGGCCAGTGTTTTTCCAGTTTTGTAGTTCCATCTACGTATCAGAGGGTGGCTCCCTTTGGTGCCTGTGCTGTGTTGAAGTTGTCCATCCTCTGGCCATGGCTGCTACGGTTCAGGGATCTTAGAAACACAGTGCTGGGAATGTTCACCGGTCTCCACTTTGTTTCTCTAGAGAGATTCATGGAGGTTGGGAATGACTGGGGTCTGCTGGATTAAAATGATTAACATTTAAACCAACTTCCAGGAGCCAGTGAGATGGCTCAACAGGAAGAGGTGCTTACTGCTAAACCCATTGTTCAATCCCCAGAGCCCACGTGGTGGAATCCTGCAGATTGTCCTCTGACATGCACATGTACATCATGACACAGATGCAAACACAAAATATGGAAAGAAACAAATGTCCCAAGGCCCGTGGTGCACAACTGTGACCTTAGCACTCAGGAGGCAGAGGCAGGGCCTAAGCCACAGGACCCCAGCCAGCCAAGCCTCATGGTGAGACTGTCTGAAACTATAACAACAACAAGCAAAACCAGAACAGGCCACTCAAGAAGCAGAGGCAGGCCTGTGAATTGAGCCATCCTGGCCTACATAATGGGTTACAGGCCCAAAACTGACCAACAACAAAAGTATGTGTATAGAGTCAACCAGTAACACAGTATGAGCCTAGATTGTGTGTGTGTGTGTGTGTGTGTGTGTGTGTGTGTCTGTCTGCATGTTTACTCTTGCTTACACTCTTGCCATGATGCACAGTTGGTGGTCACAGGAATTTTGAGAGATGAGTTTTCTCTCTTTTTCTTATTTTTTTGTTGTTGTTTGATTTTTTTTTTTTTTTTGAAACGTGGTCTCTTGTATCCTAAGCTTGCCTCCAAACTCATTATATATGTAAGACTGGCTTTGAGCTCAGTGATCCTTCTGCCTCTGCCTTCCAAATGCCAAGGTGACGATAGTGTGCCACCCCACCCACCTGCCTGGTTTCTGAGTCACAGTCTCCCATTTCTGCAGCAGTGCTGCTGTGTACCTCAGGCAAGTGGGGCCTTGAGCTTCTGTGCACCTCTTATCTCCTCCTGTCTCCTTTCACTGTGGAGCTACAGACTTTCACTGACACATCTGTCTCTGTGTGTTTATCTCCTCCTGGCTCACTGTGGAACTACAGACTTTCACTGGCACATCTGTCTCTGTGTGTGGGCTTCAGGGATCCAGTCTAATTGTCAGCATTTCTGCACTCAGGGTCATCAATGTTTGGTCCTGAAGACAGTAAACCATGTCTAGATGTCTTTTGTTTGTTTGTTTGTTTGTTTGTTTCATTTAATGTGTATGTGTGTCTTTTCATGTATATATGTCTCTGTACCACTGCATTCCTTTTGGTAGTTAGGACATTCAGAATTAGAGGCTGCAGAACTGGCTCACGTATTAAAAGCATTGGTTGCTCTTCCAGAGGACCCAGGTTTAGTTCCCTGCACCCACATGGCTGCTCACCACAATCTGCAGTGGGATCCAGCATCCTCTTGTGGCCTCTTTGGGCACTAAGCACGTAGTGGCACTGATCCACAGATCTGAGTTTTTCTGCAGATTGTGACTCTGGCTATGGGGCTGGGTGTGTTTGGGCTTTGCACACTTGATTGTTAGTTTCCTCCTGTTTTGAAGCACTGTATGTTGAAGCCTTTTAGGCTCGTGCTGCTGAGTCACACTTCTGCAAAGTCAGAGGCCAGCAACATCTGCAAGTGGCTGTGAAGCAACTATCACAGTCTTTTCTGATCTTGACCTCTCTGGTTGCACACTTTTTTTTATTGTGAGGCAGAGTCAAGCTGAGTTATCTTTTCATCCATATCCTCTTGTCTCACCTTCCGCAGTAGCTGGGATGATAGATTTGTTCTACTGGGTGTACATTGAACAAATATTTTATTTTGCAAGCCTGGGGATTGAACCCAGGACCTCAAGAATGCCAGGCAAGTTCCCCACCACTGAGCTGGACCTCAGCCTCAAATGACCCAGATTCCACCAAAACATTTGGTCTTCCAGCTGCTGGCTGGAAGGGAAGAGACAGCTCCTTAATGCTGTGGAAAAGACTCGTAGTAAAGCTTGTATCTCATCTGCCTTGAGCATTCCCATGGTGCCTGTAGGAACCGATGCTGTAGTCTGTCACAGGGAGCTTCTTTCAGCTTGTTCCTCCTGACACTTCACAGCTCAGGATCCCAGAACTGATGTCATCCCTTGGGGGCCAGTAAAGCCCTTTAGGCTTGTGCTGCAGAGTTACACTTGTGACTTCTGCAAAGTCAGAAGCAAGCAAATGTCTGGAAGTGGCTTGGAGACAAATATCGCAGCCTTGTCAACCCTTGGTCTCTCCTGTGACCATTCTCTTTTGTTATTGTAACAAAAGCAGCCACACACAGTATTTCTGCCTTGGAATAAACCTTCATTTATAAAAACAGGCTGTGAGACACCACACTCTTCTTTAAGTGGCTGGACTCATGAATGAACTCTTCTTCATCCTTCAGAACCCTTCTTTCAGGTCAGCGCTCCTTTTAAAGAGTCTCAGCTCCTGAGGATAATTATTCTTACTGTCTTTCGTTCACTGTTGGGGTTGCAGACCAGCTTCTCCTACTGATCTCTGAGCAAAGGCCTCATTTGTCTTCAGTTGGTGCACAGTGGACTGATGGACTTAACCCATACTGTTGTGCTGCTTGCTTCAGATACCACCCAGGCTATTACCAGCACCAATTCATATTCCTTCCTCTTGCGGCTTCAGAAGTAAATGCATTTTATTAAAAATAATGACTGGGGCATGGCTCCTCAGTAGAGCCCCTGCTTAGAATTGTCCAGTGAGGGGCTGGGGGCATGGCTTGGGTAGAGCTCCTGCCAAGAATTTGCCCCCTGCATCCAGGCATAGTGTCTGGGTTCCATCATGTTTGCCACAAAGCAGGTAAATGGGAGGTCCTGGGTCCTCACACAAGAGCAGAGGGGCCTCTGGCCTGAACTGCCTTGGTTGGTTCTGCTGTGGGTCTGGAGCTGGGCACCAATGTGATCACCAGGCTAACCCCCACCTTCCTTCCAGTTGCAGGAGGTGTGCACTCGCCTGTGAGGCATGCTGAAGCCAAGAGGCCAGCAGCATGAGTGCGCACGATGCTGGCAGCTCGGGCCGGCAGCAGCAGGCCACCTACCACCTGCACATCTACCCGCAGCTGTCCAGCGCTGGCAGCCAGACCTCTTGCCATGTGACTGCCACCAAGGACAGCACAGCAAGCGATGTCATCCGAGACGTGGTGGCCAGCCTACACCTGGATGGCTCGAAGCACTATGTGCTGGTGGAGGTGAAGGAGTCAGGCGGGGAGGAGTGGGTGTTGGATGCCAGCGACTCACCTGTACACCGAGTGCTACTGTGGCCTCGGCGAGCTCAGGACGAGCACCCTCAGGAGGATGGCTACTACTTCCTGCTGCAGGAGCGCAATGCCGATGGCAGCATTCAGTACCTGCACATGCAGCTGCTGGCTCAGCCCACAGCTGCACATCGCCTGGTGGAGCGAGGGCTATTGCCCAGGCCACAAGCAGACTTTGACGACCTGTGCAACCTGCCGGAGCTGACTGAAGCCAACCTGCTGCAGAACCTGAAGCTGCGCTTCATGCAGCAGAAGATCTACACATACGCGGGCAGCATCCTGGTGGCCATCAACCCCTTTAAGTTCCTGCCCATTTACAACCCCAAGTATGTGAAGATGTATGAGAACCAGCAGCTGGGCAAGCTGGAGCCACACGTGTTCGCTCTGGCCGATGTGGCCTACTACGCCATGCTGCGCAAGCGCGTGAACCAGTGCATCGTCATCTCTGGTGAGAGTGGCTCTGGCAAGACACAAAGCACCAACTTCCTCATCCACTGCCTTACAGCACTCAGCCAGAAGGGGTATGCCAGTGGCGTTGAAAGGACCATCCTGGGCGCAGGGCCTGTGCTGGAGGTGAGTACCAGGGCCTAGAGGTAAAGGGCAGGAGATGGGGAGTGCTGGCCTGCTGCCCCAGCTCTGTGTGATGCCCAGGGTCTTCCCAGTACTCACTGAGCATGTGCAAACCCCATGTCCATCCCAGAGTGCACTGAGCTTGTATGCCACCCAGGTTCCACACCTAGCCCCACACAGAGAAAGTGCACACAGGAGTCGGTTGGATGAGACAGGGCAGCAGGCTTAGTGTCAGCTCCTTAGAACCATTCTGACCATGTATTTGCAGTGTCAAGGCTACCTCCAGCGGTCCTGGCCCTAGGGTGGCTAGGATGTGAGGGGAGCCTTGGGCTGTGCATTTTACCCAGAGCCATTTACAGGACTCCCAGGAAGCTGTGCCTCTAGGCTTGGCCAGGCCAGACCTCAGGTCTGAGAGCATCCAAAACGGGAGAGGAGTATTGGGGCTCGTATGTCTTTGGTGTTCATTTGGCCTCCAGGTTCTGGGCCAGGAGATTGATATGCTCGTGCTGAACATCACAGGGCATCCCAGGAGCAGCAGGGAAACAGTACCACAGCATATTGGGGGGAGGCCACCTCAGATCCCGCACCCTATGCCTGCTGCCCAGGGTCCCCAGTAACTAAATTCCATGGGAGCCATTAATATTTCACTGTGAGCAAGACTTATGGGTGTGAGCGATATAAGGGTGAGTGAGTGAGCCCAGCTCTGGGCATTTTAAGGCAAGACGTCAACATGTCGAAGGTGACAGTACCTCAAGGTCAGAGGTGACTATGGGCTGGGTTCTGCAGCTCTGGAGTTGAGGTCCCAGGAACAGCTCCACTTGGCTCTTCTCTCTCCCTCTCTCTCCTCCTCTCTGTCTGTCTGTCTCTCAGTGGTAAGCTTTTTTCGTTGTGTATGTGTGTACTGTGTATGTGTGCATGTATGCAAAAGTGTGCTGGCACATATGCATATGTATGTGCATGCATGGGTGTTTTGCTTGCATGCGTGTCTGTGCCTGGTGCCTGCAGAGACCAGCAGAGGCATCAAATCCCCTGGAACTAAGTTATGGGCAATTGGGAGTGTCCATGAGGATGCTGGGAATCGAACCTAGGGCCTCTGGAAGAGCAGCTGGTGCTCTTAACAGTTGAGCAATCTTACCAGTCCTTCTTTCTCAATAGGCTTTAAAAAAAAAAAAGAGTCATTAATTTATGTGTGTGTGTGTGTGTGTGTGTGTGTGTGTGTGTGTGTGTGTGTGT